ACCACCAGGGCTCCTTAGAAGTAGTTCTGTAGACACCACCTTTCTTTGTAGCTCAATCCACTTCCCCTATCCTTTTCTTCTTCTGTTTTCTGTCAAAATAATAATGAAAATAGGGAAGGCGTTGGAGTGCAGAGAATTTTTTATATGATGTTAAACGTGCACATATTTTACAGTAGTATTTCCGATCTCTAGAACTGCTTTGTTTTGTAACTGAACTGGGATAGTGTGAAAATTGGAAAGGATGATAAAAGCAGGGCTGCACAATCACTGTTTTTAAGGTTGCAGCCACGGGTGATCCGTGTACGACAGAATTAAACACGGTCTGTGCTTGTGCCATCCTTGCTCAAGGTGCTATTCATTTTTAGCCCATTGTTGCAGCCTCTGTGTCTGAACAACTTCCCCTTTTTGTTGACTTTATCAAGCATGAGGTCCTCTTTCAGGGACTAATCTTTCATGATAGCATGCCCACAATTTGTGAGAAAAAGTCTCACCATTCTTGATTCCACGGAGCATTCTGTCTGTACTTCCAAGACAGATTTTTTTGTTCTGCTAGTACATTTAGTATTCTAAGACCAATAATTCAAATGCATCAATCCTTTGCCTTCTTTATTATTCATTGCCCAGTTTTTTTTAATTCCTGTGAGGCGATTGCGTTTAGGTGATGTGCATTGACCAAAGTGCACCTAGTCCTAAAAATGACACCTTTGCTTTTTGACGTTTTGAAATGGTCTTTCGTAGCAGATCTATCAAATGTAATACATTTGAGTTCTTGACGGATCCTTCTATGGCCAGTTCCAAGTAAAATGAAGTACTTGACAACATCAATATGATGTTGCTTCTTGGTTCAATTGTGAGGAGTTGTGTTTTCTTTATGTTCAGGTGTAATTCATTCTAAAACTGAGTGTAACAAAAGAGGAAATTAATTTTTTTATGGGTTAAACAGTGTGATGACTTATTTTCCTCATATTTCACCTTTGGTAGTAGAAGACTTTCAGCCTAAATGTTGGGTGGGGGGTGGGGCGGGCTGCATTAAGAAATTCGCTGAAACAATTTTGAGTTCAGCAGGAGATCACAGTTATTTATGAACTTTAAATGTTCACTGTGTGCTAAACATGCCACCTTTAATTTCATTGTAGAAATTATTTGTACCTTTGAGGAACAAAGTTTGGTATCTTAACTTTAAGAAAATGTTTAGGGAAAAAGTATTCATTTGGACCTGTGTTTTTTTTGTTTTTGATACTTAAAAGCTGGTGTGAACTTTTAAGGAGCCCCATTGGCACAGTGGTTAACCGATAGGTTGACTGTTCAAACCTACAATCCATTCTGATTGAAAAAGATGTGGCAATCTGCTTCCATTGTGATTTACAATCTTGAAAACCCCCTGGGACAGCCCTACTCTGTCCCATGGAGTCACTAAGAATTGGAATCAACTTGATGGTAGTGAGTTTGGTATAATTTGGTGAGCTCTTAAAGGAAACAAATGTAAGCATTAAAAATGAAAACTAAATTCTGTGCTTGATTTAAACTTTCTTTTTACTCCTTGCAGCAACAACAACTTGGCTGAGTTTCTTTCGAGGGCATTTAACATTTATTTTTGAGACGGACAGATATAGCCACATTAAGGGTCACAGTTATTGGGTAGCAGAGGCTGTGTGTTCTTTTCATCAGTCTTCCAAGCTGAGTAGTGCTAGAAGTATGTTCTGATTGGTCAAATAAAACTGCATTCCAAACGCAAGACTTCTGAGGGCAGATTTTGCAGTTTGGGTGCCCCAAATAACAAAAGAGAAATGAATTTATTTTCATGTTTATTTCAGACACTTGGTGTAGAGAATTTCAGTAGAGTTGTCAGTATTTTGGCAGAGGTGGCCTATCAGCGTGAGTCTTGGTGGTGAAGTGATTTCTGTGTTGGTGGGGCTGCTACCTCAAGGTTAGCAGTTCAAGTCCACCAGCTGCTCTGCAGAAGAAAGGTGAGGCTTTCTGCTCCAATAAAGATTTATAGCCTCAAGAGCCCTAGGGCGCATTTCTGCTCTGTCGTATAAGGCCCCTAAGAGCCAGGATTGACTCAGTAGCAGCTGATTTGAGTTTTAATTTTGTCTTATAGGTGATGATGCAAAAGTATTTATGCATGTCTGGCATAAGATTTCCAATAAATGTGTGGCATGTCATTATGTTGTAAAAAAACAGAATGACAGTGATTAAATGATGCTTAACCTTTTAACTTTTGTTCTATATTGAAACACAATGATAGGACGATGTTCGTTTCCCTTGAGGATTTCTAAGCTTGTAGGGAAAATCCACTTGCAACCATAATGGTTACACCATTATGATTTAGGTATTGGTTCCAAAAAAGTATGTGTGGAGTTCATGATTGGAGCAAGCAATTAATGAGTTTGACTGCTGGCCAAAGGTTGGAGGTTCGAGTTCCCTTAGAAGCACTTAGGAAGAATGATTTGGTGATCTATTTCTGAAAAATTAGCCATGGGAAACCCTGTTGAGTACAACTCTTCCCTGGCACAAGAGGCTGTCATGGTTCAGAATGGTTGTATGATTCCGCACAGCAACTGGTTGTATGATGTGTTGAGAGCCTGGTGGACCGAGCTGCTCTGAACTTACAGGATGTTAAACAGGAGTGCAGCATGGTCAGAGTTCTGGTTGAGCTGTGTGAAAGGTGAGTCAGAAAGGGGAGGAGAGATAATAGACATGGGAGCCCAATATTCTAGCATCATTAATGATAGGGGCAGAAACATAGAATGGATATAGAATCAACAGGACTTTGGCAAAAATAAATATGAAGGAATGGAAAAAGTTGAAGATAGTGCTCAGACTTTTAGCTTTGGGGTCTGACTCTAAAACTAGTTCTTGTTAGATGCGATTTGGGTATAAGAAGAGCAGGTTGGTTTTGACAGGAAAATAGTTCAGCTGTGAACATTTTTAGTATGTATGCCAGTAGAGCTTTTGAGTAGAGATATCAAAGAAACCTTTCAAAGTACAAATCTGGATTTTAGTAGTCTTAGTCAGAAGAGCTGCATCCCCATGCTCAAAAAATGGTTAATTCCTCCAAGCCACTTCAACTATTAGGTAGCAGAGCAAGGTCTTGAATACAGATCTGTCAGAACTCCAAAGCATGAAGAAAGCACCATGTTAACTTACTTTCTAATAGCAATCACTATAAGTTTATTCAGGAGACCTGGTGGTGTACTGGGTTACAAGTTGGGCTGCTAACTGCAAGGTCATCAGTTCGAATCCACCAGCCCCTCCATGGGAGAAAGAAGGTACTTTCTGTTCCTGTACAGCCTTTGACATGCATAGTGTCCCTATGAGTAAGAATGAATGGACTTGGTGGCAGTGGATAGGTAAGTTTATTGACATAATACAATATCCCTGACATTGTGTTAAATCACAAACACAGTGTTTGTGTCACCAAAAACGGGGACATTAAAGTTGATTTACCAAAACTGATATAGAAAGAAAAGATGCTGAAAAAATATGATGAGCAAAAGCCAAGGGTATTTGAGAATTCATGGTGTATTTCAGGAATGAAATGGTCTATTGTGGCTAGTCTAGTGTTTGACTGAACAAATATATAGAGAGAAGTGTTAAAACTAGTGGGGCAAGGTTTATCTGAATGCTACTCTGTAGCCACCTGTGTCCATATGGAAAGTTGTTAAGATTTTTGTTCAAAATTCAAACACAGGTTTGATTACATGGTGGTGTTGGTAGTTCTAGTTGTCTTCAACGCGTGATGATCTCATTGGTATGTTCATGTGTCTTCTTCCTCAAAGAGTGTTGCCCTTATTTTTGCTCAGGTTAGGAGATATAAATTAATGTGTAGCAGTCTCTGAATTGCACAAATAGTTCAATTTCAGTAAAGGTTAGGACCCACCAATTGTAGAGACACTCATCATCAAAACCATCCTTGCCAAGCTGAGATCCAAGATGGCAGACTAGGTCGATAGATTCCTAAACCTCTACAACAAAGATCCAGGAAACCAAATCAAACAGATAAGGACAATAGTCCTAGAACCCAGAGCTTTAAGAGAAAGGATAGAGGAGATACATACCCATTAAAAGAAACTGAACAAAAACAGTAAAAAAGTGATACATGGTGTGGTAAATTTCTAATTGGCCTAGCACAGAGTGGCCACTTTGAATTATTGTAAACAGAATGCTGATGGCAGAAATCAGGTAACCAGCTCCATTCACTCAGAACTGCACCAGTGCCCATACCAGTGTCCAGTATCCAATGAGGTATGATCTCCCCCACTTAACTGCACAGCATCTGAGTAGCTAGAAGTACAGCCCCATCTACCTATCACTTCACTGTCCTGGAGGCCTGAGGAATACTCTAGCGGGCCAAATGCATGTCTGCTGCCTCAGACATCCGTGGAGCGTATCCTCTTAGACCACATAGCCTTGGGCTACACATCCCTGCCTCTTTCAGAGGCTCTGGTACTTGCCTATCCATCTCTGCACTTGGCATTGTACATTCTCCTGAAGCAGGCTTCATGGCCCAACACTTAATGGTGCTCATCCTCAACTGCTCCACACCGAGTAGCATGCTTAGTGGATCCCATGCCCACGTTGCTCCTTAAATGGTTCCAGCACAGCCATATGTGGATACAAAAACTTAAACTAGTGCTGTGTCATTTTTAAAATGTCTTTTCTTATTTCTTACTCCCACCCCTACCTTTCCCCCCTATATTTTTCTTCCTCTTTCCCCACTCCTTTTGTTCTTTTCCCATCAGTTGGGATCCAACAGCCCTAAGCAACCATACCTACTACACCTGCTCACCGGCCTGCTGGATGAGTACCACCAGCTTCTTCAACATCAATTGATGGATGACTGACCTTGGCCAACGTTCATCCATCCTGCCCTCAACTGCTCTGCATAACCACTGATCACAGGCTGTCATTCACACTCCAAACCACTCCAAAATCTACCGTGAGATAGGTAACAAACAGCCCAATGCTGGCAAACAGAGTAGCATTCCCGCCTCATTATGCTGATATATTAGGAGAAAGTAAAAGATAAATGGAAGCAAACCAACATATAACCAACAGATAAATGCAGTGATACCACAGTATCTCAGAGACTATAGAAAACTTAAAGAAACAAAAAAGACAAGATGGGCTAAGCAAGTGAGCAAAATATGGGACTGGAGGAAGGAAAGATGTTGGAATTACCTGATCAAAAATTCAAAAGAATTATATTTAAGATTAGTCAAAAAATGAAGAAAGAGGTCAAGGAAAAGAAAAAAAGACACCCAGGAAGCTATTGACAAAATCAGGGAAAATAACTCTAGAATAATTCAGGTAAACAAGACAAGAAAAAATTGACAAAACAAATGGAATAATAGAAACCATGCAAAAATGGCAACTAGAAATTCTGATGCTTAATATTAAAGGTATAGAAATATATAACATTGGAAAGGCAAAAGAGCAGAATTTATTGAATTGGAGACAGAATCAGTGAAATTGAAGATAAATCTCTTGATCTGGTAGAGGAACAGCTCGAACTAAGAATTTAAGAAAATGAAGCAAGCTTAAAAGTAATGCGTGACACCAGCAAGAGGAATAGCTGAAGTGTGATTAGAATTCCAAACAGGAAGAGAGAGAGAGGGAGAAACCTGGAGAGCAGTTGTCAAAAGAGTTATTGGGAAAACCTCCCGAATTCTGAACCCTCAGAAGTTATGCATTCTAGAAGCTCAGCACACCCCGAATAGGATAGCCCCTCAAAAGAAAACCAGCCGGACATGTCATATTCAAACTCTCCAAAGCCAAAGATAAGGAATCCTGAAAGCAGCTCAGGAAAATGAAGCACTGATTACAAGGGAGAACAAATAAAACTAGACACTGATTTGTCAGCAGAAATTGTAGGAAGGTCGTGAAATGACATAAAGCCCTGATTTAAAATGCTTACCAAAAATATTATAGTAAAGTGCCCCTCAAATGTGAGGGCACAATCAGGAAGTTTCCAGATAAACAGAAATTACAAAAATTGCTAAAGATTTATCCCTTTGGACAGATAACCAACAGTATCAAACGTGTCAGATTGAGACACATGACAGTATCACCGAGAAATCAACCCAGATGTAGAAGTATCCATAATAAAATAAACCCACAAGACTAAGTTTATGGAACCAAGAAAGGTCCATTTGTAAATAATGCAGCTACGTAAGGAAAAAGAAGGAATGAATGGAGTAGTTCCATAATTTCCAAATGGAGAAGACATCAAGAGGATATGTAGGTATAATAGACAAATTGTAACCTCAAAGAGAATTTGTAAACCTAACCAAAAAGAAATGAAGATCAGAAAACACTGAGGTAAGAGGAGCAAAGAAAATGATAAAACTGTTGACAAATGAATTCAGCACACACACAAAATACACGGAGCAGAGAAATCAATAAATGCAACTATAAAAGCATGACAAAATAGCAACAGTAAATTCATATCTATCAGTAATTACACTGTAAATGTACTAGTTACGAGAGGCAGAATGGATAAGAAAACAGCCCATCAATGTGCTATCTACAAGGGACACACCTTCAATACAAGGCAAAAATAAGCCCCAAACCAAAGAATAATAAAAAAAAACCCATTTCAAGCAATTAGCAACCAAAATAGAGCAGAAGTAGCCTTATTAATTTCTGGTAAAATAACGTTAAGGCAGAAACCGCTTATTAAAGGATCGATCCAACAAAAGGACATAACTATAATATCTATACATCAAATTAAAGAGCCCCAAAATACACAATTCATCCAAGCAAACTAATACACCACTTTCAGCGACAGGATAACTAGAAAGAAATGCAACAAGGTGACAGTTGACCAAACAACACAATCAACCATCTTATAAACATACAAAACACCACCCAGCATCCACATGATGTACATACATTCTTTTCCATTGCTCATAGAACAGTCTCCAGAATAGACCGTATGCTTAAAATGTCAAAATGTTACCTAGCAGCTTCTCAGATCACAATGTTATAAAATAAGATATAAAGAACATGAAGATCAGGATGATTAAATGAAATACTGAGTAACCCCCTGCTTAATAGAAGAAACAACATGAATCTATTGTTAGCCCTTAACCAGATCCCACATTGTGGCCCAGTGGAATTGTGGCAAAGAATATTAAGTCTTTTATATGAAAATTAAGTAGTTTGCATGGATTTATTTTCTTTAATTGTGACAATTATTCAGCCTTCTACCTTATATATATATATAGTTTCATATAAATCCAAAGAAAAAATTCATCATTTGTGGTCTTGAACATTTTTTTAATAGACTGACAAAGAATGACCAAGTTTTTTTGGCCTTATATAATTCCAAAAGTTCTTAAAATGAAAATGATTTTAACCAAAGAAAGAAACACGAATAACAATAAAAGTTGTTATTGTTTACCAATAAAAGTTGCTTTTAGTCAATAAAAGTTGCTTTTAGCCAATAAAAGTTGTTTATTGGTAAAGAACAACATGCTCCGTCAACACTAGTAACCACTTTTATTATTATTCGTGTTGAAGAAGCATCAGTTATTCTTTACCACAATTAAAGATCAACTTCAATGTTAAGGGTGGTGTGCATAACTTTTAAATTATATTTCTACACATAAAAAACATAAAGGCATGTTTATTTGAAATAGGAAATAACTGGGTTAGCTTCTATTTTGCTGCTCTAGAAAGAAATACAGTGTATTTTTAACGTAGTGATTTATTTGACCTCTATCGAACCATTGCCTTGCTTCCGGTCCTATGGAAGAGTAGAACTGCACCTCTGGGTTTCCAAGGTTTTAAGTCTTTTCAGGAGTAGAAAGGCTCATCCTTCTGAAGAGTGACCAGTACGTTCCAACCACTGACTGTGTGGTTAGCAGCCCAACGGCTAACTGATTATGTGTCCTTGGTCTGTATCAGATGAAGATAAATTGTTTTGGATTTTTTAGATAAATGATTTAGAGAGTAGTCAGAATGTTTCTGGTTGATTGAAAATTTGAATATAATACTATCCAGAGAAAATGAAACCTACTTGGTTAATTTAAATTGTTATTTGAGATATAATCTGATTTTGCTTTATTGCTTATTTTCTTCTCCAGGATGTAAGTCAGCAAGCAAAAGGAAGATTGAATAAAACAGGAAGTCAGTAAAGATAACCTTGGAAGTCCTGAATGCAGCAAAATAAGGATAATGGATCTCAAGTTCAACAACTCCAGGAAGTACATTTCTATCACCGTCCCATCCACAACCCAAACAATGTCACCGCATATCAAGTCAATAGATGACATCATGGTACTTGGCATAAATCTCAGCAGATTTAACAAACTTACTCAATTTCTCATATGTGTTGCTGGAGTTTTTATATTTTACCTAATTTATGGATACTTACAGGTAAAAGAAAAAGTCACTTGTTTATGATAGTTTTAGTAATTTGAGGTCACTGTGGACCACATTTTGAGCATTTACTAATCATTTTTCCCCATGATATTTTTACTTGCTTCAGTTTAGAAATATTATCTTTATGTAATAGAAAAAGGCTTACTAAAAGTAAGCTTAGAACAAGAACGAAATTTTCAAGGTATTTTTATTTCTGGTAAGTATATATGTATAACAGTTGACGGTCATGGGAGCAGAGACTTAATTTGAAAAATTAGAATATGGAACTAAAATTTTTCATTTATTTAACAAAATATACTGAAACAATGCATTTGTTTTGAAAAGATTCAAATATTTAAGTATTAATTATTTGAGAATTTAATTGTGTTTTTTTAAAAATCATTTTATTAGGGGCTCATACAACTCTTTTCACAATCCATCCATACATCAATTGTACAAAGCACCTTTGTACATTCATTATCCTCATCATGCTCAAAGCATTTGTTTTCCACGTAAGCCCCTGGCATCAGCTCCTCATTTTCCCCCTCCCTCCCCGCTCCCCACTCCCTCATGAACACTTGATAATTTATAAATTTCTCTTTTGTCATATCTTACACTGTCCGACGTCTCTCTTCACCCACTTTTCTGTTGTCCGTCCCCCAGGGAGGAGGTTATATGTAGATCCTTATAATCGGTTCTCCCACTCTACCCCACTCTCCGTCCATCCTCCCGGTATCACCACTCTTACCACTGGTCCTGAAGGGATCATCTGTCCTGGATTCCCTGTGTTTCCAGTTCCTATCTGTACCATTCCATCTGTACCATTCTCTGGTCTAACCAGATTTGTAAGGTAGAATTGGGATCATGATGGTGGGTAGGGAGGAAGCATTTAGGAACTAGAGGAAAGTTGTATGTTTCATCGTTGCTTCACTGCACCCTGACTGGCTTGACTCCTCCCCGTGACTCTTCCGTAAGGGGATGTCCTGTTGCCTACAGATGGGCTTTGGGACCCCACCTCGCACTCCCCCCTCATTCACAATAAGATTGTTTTGTTCTGATGATGCCTGATACCTCATCCCTTCGACACCTCATGACCACACAGGCTGGTGTGCTTCCTCCATATGGGCTTTGTTGCTTCTGAGCTATATGGCTGCTTGTTACCTTTAAGCCTTTAAGACCCCAGATGCTAGATCTTTTGATAGTTGGGCACCATCAGCTTTCTTCACCACATTTGCTTATACACTCATTTGTCTTCAGTGATCGTATCAGGGAGGTGAGCACACAATGATAGATTTTTTAAGAACTTAATTGTTTAATAGAGTTGAATGACAGCATAAAAGCCCTATTTCAGTTCACACTTGATTATTATTGTGTAACATTGCCACTTTTCATGTGTGAAAACATTCTTCCTAGCTCCCAGGTACATAAGTATTAAAATAGTTCAGAGAAAATAATTTGGGTTTTTAATTAATGTTAGCTTTATATAGTTGACTATCTCAATGCCAAAATGCTAAAACTGCAATAAAACCTATGAAAGCTGAAACTTGTCTGAAAAGGAAAACGCATATGTTTTCCACTAAGAGAGAGCAATAGAAAAGTGGTAAGCGTGCACCCTGTCCGGTGGAAAACTGGTAGACCCACAAACAGGAGTTCCACTGAGTTTTGTTTCTCACGGGTCTCTGTATTTTTACCCTGAGTATGAGTGGGTTTAAAAAATTAGTGGAAAAGTTTGCATTCCAGCCCCAGTTGCCATCCATGGATGTCACAGTATTACTTTCCTCCTGAAGGCTTTTGGAAATACATTGGCTGACTTTTTTGGAAGTACGTTGCCAAGGGGTCTCTGGGTATACTTGAACCTCCAACATTCCAGTTAGCAGATGAATTCACCGTTTACACCAGACAAGCACAAGTTTGATTTATTCACTTATTCAGTTAAATTTGAGACAGAAAATATAATTTTAAGAATTAATTATAACTGACTAATATTAACAGTGGATACAAATATTACATGTTATTTAGTCTAATCACTCCCTTTACAATAAGAATTGTTATATAAAGAGAAACAAGTATAAAAATGTTACTTCATGGCTATCCTTGCCCTCTGTTTTTTCTCTTTCTCTGATTTTTTTTTTTATAAGCCATTCTTAATGTCCTTAAAAGTTGACTTAACAACGTTAATTGACTCAATTAGAGGTCACAGCTTTGAAAACTCCATGGACAGTTCTCTGTAAACATAGCATTCAGTTCTGTGGCGCAGGGGTCTGCTTTCTGTAATTAGTCTCTGAAACACGGTGCTTTGCTTTTGCGTTTTCGTTGGAGTGGGTTTTGTTTCTTGTTTCTAGAAATGTATTGTGGGAAAATTGGTTTTCCCCTTGAACTTTAACAGTATTCATGTATCTTTTAACAGGAATTAATATTTTCAGTGGAGGGTTTTAAGTCCTATGGCTGGTACCTTACATTAGTGCAGTTTGGGTTTTACTCCATATTTGGTCTAATAGAGCTTCAGCTTATTAAAGACAAAAGGAGAAGGTATGTAGTTTTTGTTTTTTTTTTAATGTTTTGGTATACAGAGGCCATTATGCATGATTTACATTTCCCATGATCAAAACACATAACCCATGAATTTTTATTAGCAAAGTAAACTTTTTAAGAGTATAAGTATAAAGAACATTTTTCTTATGCACTAAAAAAAATGAGGTTTCTTTCTAAGTGTAATTTCACCAAAAAATAAGGAATATAATTTGCACTCAATTTATAGTGAGGTTTACCTTCTTACAACACAAAAATAAGCCTGGTCTCATTAATTGCACCAAAATCTGTGATTCTTGAAAGATTAAAATGTTATACCAAAGTAGTGTGTATTGAGATATCAGTACTTACTTTTTATAGATCTTTTTAAATTGTGTAGTAAATGATTCATTTTGTAGGAAGTATTCCAGCAAGCGTGGTCATGTTTATGATATACATGAAGTATATATTCTTAAATATTAGAAGAACAAATATAGTAGCATTTTTTATCATAGCCAAAAGTGCTGGTATGTTAATATCTTATGTTGACAACCACCTAAATATAAGTAATATCTTTAATTAATTTAATGGAATATAGAATAATATGTAGTAAAAAGCAGTGTGATTATGAATAGAAAGTAGTTAGATATTCGAATATAAAATATTCTTAGGAAATGTAAGAAGTGTGGTTATCCTCATATCACACCTTAATATGTAAATATGTAATATGTAAATATTGCTACTTAAATCGTTAAATATTGAGTTATAATGCTGAGCTTTTGTCTTCACTGATATAAATGTTTTAAAAACTTTAAATGAAAATAAACGTTTTACAGCTATTTTTAAAAACAAGAAACAAGCATAAAATGGCTTTGATGTGTCTGAAATTAATTTTGTGAAAATTTTTAAATATTTGAATCTGTAATATAGGTATCCTCCCAAGTGGCCTTCTCTTAGGACTTTATTAAACTAAATATTTCCCTTTGTTTTTTCTTCTTAATTTTTTTTGGAGGGGGATCCATTTATGAAAAAAAAAAACGATGCACAATTATCTCATTAAATGGCAAGGCATAATTTTTCCCATCAGTTTTATTGGCACATAATTAGCATATCATACAATTCAATAGTTCAGTCTTATCAAGTGGCATTGTATAGCCACCACCATCAATCTTAGAGCATCCCTTGCCCAGCCACCCCTTGGTTAAATCGCTTTTAAAATGAGTTGTTGTACAATGATAGTCAGTTCTAGTGCACCCTCCCCACTTATTGCCTTCATTATTTACTCCTGAAATCCCCCTTCCCTCCCTGTCACCCACCCCTGCATTCCCTATAATCCCTTGTATTGGTTATTCGCATTGTGTATCCATTCCTCCTGTGCTTCACAGCTAGGAAACCCAACAGAAAACAATAAAAACCAAAATTGCACTAAGGTGGTAAGGCTAAATAATAGTATAAAGACAAAAATGTAAATTCTTAAACTACCAGAGCTGAAAGAATATAGCATTCAGAGTCAGTAAACATGGGTTTGGGCCTCTTAATAGTTCTGCAAGATCTTAGGGGAGCTCTCAGTTTTATTTTAAAGTTCAAATGTGATAAAGTACATTTGTAAGCACATAATAAATTATAATACTCTCAATATGCTTTTTTGGTCCCACAAGATTACCTTGCAACTTTATTATTAACTACTTTATGTGAGTTTTCAAAATTATTATGATCGACCATTACGTCTCGGATCGAGGTGAGCAAATGATCACAATAATGGCTCAAAACTCAGAGATGTCAAATGAAGGGTCTCTTTTTGGACCTCCAGATAGAAGTAGGATAGAAGACTTGGAAATCTGATTCCTCTTGTGCTTTGTTTTATGAAACATCTACATTTCTAAACCACATTTATGATTTCTAGAAAGATTCTGCTCAGTTATCTTAACAGAATGCTCGGTGGATTTTTCCTAATGCTAGATGAAAAACATTAGGAAACAACATTTCCAGGGCCCCATTTACAATTACAGAGACCAGTATTTATAGTCCCCTTAAAGGTCATCAAAATAGTTATTTGCAGCTAGTTCACTGTTTAAAAAAACTGTTTAGCAAACATTTATACCTTTAGGGAGAATTTAAGTAATTCTTGTATAACTTATCTCAGTGGAGTTCTCATTTATGATAGACATGGGTGTTTTTAATATAAAAGTAAATTATTACCTTTATAACCTACTTTTTTACATTTAGTGAAATAACTTTAACAATATATTCTTACCACTATATCTGGAAAAGTTAACCTGAAATTAGAAAAATAATTAGGTATTTACATATTATAAATATACTCTTGAAATAGTATGAATTTGGTTCCAAAATGAAGATCTTAAAATTGTCTTTTGCAGAATACCAGGAAAAACCTACATGATAATAGCTTTTCTAACTGTGGGTACTATGGGGTTATCAAACACTTCCTTGGGCTACCTGAATTATCCTACCCAAGTCATCTTCAAATGCTGCAAATTGATTCCTGTTATGCTAGGAGGAATTTTTATTCAAGGTATTGTAATGATATATTTTCCTACTGTTTGAAACTTAATAAGATCTGTTATGATATCTAGCATTAGGAAAAATGTTAACCTTTTAAATAATTGAGTATTCTGGATATAAAAATTCTGAATAATGTATACAAATAAAATATTTGAACACTTCTGTGACATGCATTAATATCTGAACTCAATAGTCAAAATCATCAATACTAAAATATTTGATTTTTTCATAATCTCAGAATCTACTACATTTTCAAAAAATAATAAATGCACATTATAAAGGTTCACCTCAGAAGTGCTTGGGAAGCTCCTTTTTTTCTCCCTTCTATTTTCTGGGTAGCCCCTCTGTACTTCCATCAAAATGGGCAATTCTCATATGGAAATAAAAATTATTCTGAGCAGAACTAATATTTTATCAACCTTGCTAGCTTACTGACTTCTTGAAGAGCTCAACTTATAAGCTGTGTGGAAATATATATAAAAGAGAATAATAGCAATAAAATAACAGGAACCTCTCTGATGTTGTTCATAGTAATTGTCATGCAGAATATTCATGCATGGGAACTGTGCGCTTCTGTGTTTACTAAAGTTCTTACACAGCCTGATTCCCTTTTATCCATTAAATAGCTTTTTAAAATGAAAAATGTGTATTTCAGCTGCTTCATATATAATTTCAGGGTAATTGTTCACATAGGAAAAATATTGAACTTAGCATCTATAAAAATTACTCTTGAGCAACCAAACTGGGCACACATCTCTATAAAATGTTATACTGTATGATTTCATTTTTTTAAATGTAGTTACACCAAAATATAGTAAGTTGACATGCCTAGATCAATCAATTCTAGTCTTTGAAGTCTTGAATCATTAGTCTCGTTATTTTGGAAACTGGGAAAATGTAAGAAAATGTATTGTGTTATACGAAAGTAGAAGCATCAGTTTCCATTCTTGCTATCAATTTCCTAAAAATGGGATATTTACTCACTTGTAACTCAGATGTGAAGGGGCTTCAGAAAGTTCGTGGGAAAATGAAGTTGAAAGATAATGGATTTTTTCCACATATATTTCAAAGCTCTTTGTAAAATACATAAAGACATGTGCTGCCTCAGTGCGTTGTTAGTTTTTCAGGTATTTCTGACAGCTGTAAAAAGTGGATACCTATTTTACCAGGTTAAATGTAAGGATTGAAACTGCTAGGTGGATTTACTTTGTCTTAATGGGTTTGTTCTCTAGGAAAGCGGTACAACATTGTAGATGTGTCTGCTGCCGTATGTATGAGCCTTGGCCTAATATGGTTCACCCTGGCTGACAGCACAATTGCACCGAATTTCAACCTGACAGGTAAGGAATTTCTTTTTATTCACTCAGTTTTACAGACATTTTGGTTTAGAATAAGGAATTGAATTGATGATGTGACATTGTGATTCTGAGATCTAACTTAAAGCTTTCAGGCTTCCCCTCTATATGTAGTAAAAATATCACTGCTCTGGAAATGCAATAATTGTTTTTAATATTCTTGCATTTTAATATGAAATAAGACTGTTTAGATTGTTTGCCAAGTCAAAATCTTTAGGTTTCAAGTACTGTATATACATAATAGTTATGAGTTAAGTTGAAAAAGTACATATGAATTATAGAGGAATCAGTAGTGATATTTCTGTCCTCATGTTTAAAAACTGAAACATGCACATTTACTTGCTAGTTGTTTTACGTGAAGAAGGATCATCTTGCTGTGCTTTAAGAGTATACTGTAGAATGGATATACCATATATACTTGAGTATTAGCCTACCCGAATATCAGTCGAGGCACCTAATTTTACACAAAAAATGCATTAAAAATGTGAAGAAGTTGATTTATACACAAGCATATATGGTACCTAAAGCTTCCTGCAGAAATAATTCTCTCCATAGAGAAAACACTCCATGTGACTCAAACTTAGATTTTTCAAAAGCAGATTAGATACTACACTATATTTAAACTAAGCAACTCATTGCCATAGACTAGATTTTTTTGTTACATATACAGTATTCTCTGTCACTCTTAAATTTTTAAAAGTTAGAGTTTACTCACAAGATTTTCTTAATTAGTAATCCCCTAGGCTGGCAGAAATATTTAAAATATCATACTCCAACATTTATTTGATAGTAAACATCACAAGTTAGGTAAGCATTTAAGAATAAGCGTGGAAATACAAAAGTCTCCATGGGGATAGCCGCATACATGTTTACATGTATTTTTCTACTACCTGTGATTGTTTTCACATTAAAAATACAGTCAGATGAAAACGCTCCCTTCAGCTCTAACCAAGGCATCATGACTGGTGTCCAGGCATCCCATACACTGTAAGTGGATTGCTTCTTAAGGAAGCCTCAGAGGTACAAGTTACATAAACAAATCTGGGAATTAGCCCACACTTGTACCCTTTACTATAATAAGGAAATATTGCTTAAACTGTTAAAAAATGGCTGTGGAGTGACAGAATAGGTTTTGTGAAGGCTATGTTAAATGTCTGAAGCAATTTGGTTCAATAAATCAATACAATAATAAGACAAAAAAATGAAATCACTATCAGGTCCAACTCCTAGTGGCCCTTTGTCCAATCAAGCATAGGCTAGCCCTGTGCCTCCTCACAATTGTTATGTTTGAGCCCATTGTTGTAGCCACTGTGCCAGTCCCTGTTGGTCTTTCTCATGCCTCGGACCTTCTGCTTTACCAAGCGTGAGGTCCTTTTTCCAGGCATGGGTGCCTGCTGATATGTAAGGTGAAGGACATGAGGCAGATGCTCCGTCCTTTCCTCTAAGGAGCCTTTGGGCTGCATTGCTTCTAAGACAGATTTGTTTGTGCTTTTGCAGTCTATAGAACTTTCTATATTCTTTGCCAACACTATAATTTAATGTATTAATTCTTTTGTGATATTTTTGCCTCTTCTGAAAGTTTCAATAACTTGACTAGCTAACCCATATCCAAATGTATCACCTAAGAGTTTCTTCTGTACTTGTTGACCACAATAGTTAAAAGTAGGTCTATTCTTTGACATGATATTCATATAGCGCAACAGTAGTTCAATTTATTTTTTGTAATTTTCTACTTTGGGGGTACTTACTTATTGTTAATTTGTTTTATTATCACCCCCTGTAACAACATGTGCGTGTTAGATAAAGAGGAGAAGAGTACTCAACTTTTGATAAAATGTACTTTAAGATCTGTTGAGTTTTTAAAGGCGTATTCCTGATAAACCTTGATTATAGTTCATAAGCTTGAATAAGAAGGCTTTTTTTTCTTCTGCCTTCTTGAAGGTGTGATCCTTATTTCCCTGGCATTATGTGCGGATGCTGTCATTGGAAACGTCCAGGAAAAAGCTATGAAGCTGCACAATGCTTCTAACTCAGAAATGGTAATTGTGTCTGTTTTCTCTTTACATTCAGCGGACTCAAACATAGCCATAGACTTACTGCATTAAATACGTTCTGAATACATGCACTTCACATTCAGTGATTCTATTGCCACTTTCATAATAAAAGTAACACATTCAAACATCACAGAAATATGCCAAGTAAATTTAACTACCCCCCAAAACTAACTGCTGTCAGGTCAGTTCCAACGGAGTGAACCCTGTAAGACAGAGGACCACTGTCCCTATTTCCAGGGCTGTAATCTTTATAAAAGCGCACTGCCACAGCTTTCTCTTAGAGAGAAATGGGTAGGTTCAAGCTACAGGCCTTCTGGTTTGCATCCAAGCAATATAACCACAGTGCCACCTGAATCTTCAAATTTGCCCCCTAATGAGAAATTATAATTCAGAATTTTTTTATTCTGATTAATTTACAGAATCTTTTTAATATAGAAAACTATTTGTTATATCATATCCCATCTCTCCTTTGTACACAGATAAATCCAAAAATACTATTACTGGAATTCCAGTTCACGCACTACAGGTTTATCCTGGAAAAAAGGCACGTTTAAACATCTCTATAGTCGGTGGATGAGTGCAGTTCTCTGAGGAATACGCTTGCCTTAGTCTCATTAGGGTGCCTTCGTAAAAGAAGGGCTAATCAAAGCAATGACTTCCCACCAGGATCTGCTGAGCCAGTTAAATTCCAGGCAAAGAAGTCTAATGAGATCATCTTGAAAGATTTTCTCAAAGAACACAGAATATTTATGGGGGATTATTATGAAGAAATTTTAAGAAAGTGGAAAACTGCATTGGTTATATAAAGGTCTGGAGAGTTCTGCCAAGGGAGCTTTTTCCATCCTGACAGCAAACCTGCTCTTGGGGCAGCAAGGATTAGCCCATGAAATTTCCCTGGGAAACTACTCCTCTGCCTTACCACCCTGAGTTTGTCCCCTCAGACTTTTCTTTGTACCCTAAACTGAAAGGATATACAAAGGGAACATGATTTGAGTCCCCGAGAATGCCGAAACTGTCATTTTGACCCGGTAAAAATCAGAGCCCAGAATTCTTCAGAAAATGGTTAGAGATGGAAACACCCAACTTCAAAAAGTGGATAGAGGATATGTCAAGGGCAAAATCACTTCACATTGTTATATATATATATATATATATTTTTTTTTAACGAAAGTTTCTGTAATTTTACACCATTACTTGGTGCCATTCTCTAATATTTGTATTGTTTTCCACTTAGACTTTAAATTTTGCTTATGTGGTCCAGATTATATATCTTAATTTTCAGGCCTCTGGCTTCATATCATTATTGTAATGACTTTTCCACATTGTCTTTATCTTTATGGTGTCTGTATTTGTTTGGGTTGACTAGAGAAACAAATCCAAGGACACTCATATGTGTGTAAGAGAAAGTGTTATATCAAAGAGTGGCTGTATATTGAGAAAACATCCCAGCCCAGTCCAGATCAAATCCCTAAGTCCAGTATCAGCCCATAAGTCCAATACTAGTTCATTAATCACTCTTCAGACTCATGCAATCACATGCAATGATGCAGAATGCAGGAAGATCACGGGCCAGTGAATGCAAAGTCTTACGGATCCAATGGTGGGTGACGCAGCTTCAGTGCTCTGGCTGCCATCAGCCTAGCTCTATGTGGCTTGTCACAGGAAGGTGAAGCAGAGAGAGTGTGGTCTGCCTCCCAGGAGAAAAGAGAGGAAGTTCCCAGAATCCTCATGAGAAAGAAGGCCGTGTCCACAAGGCGGCATCATAAGGCTCTGACCCGATTGACAGGCAAGACTCCACCCCTTCACTCTTAATACTCTCAAATTGACATGAGATTATGTAACTACCACAGTGTCCTTTTTAATTAACTCTCTTATTCAATCCAAAAGTTTTGTTTGCTGTAAAGTGAGATCAGGATTTTTATAAATCTTTCCCCCACCCCCGAAAAAATAATTATTGAATAATCTATTTTCCTAGCTTACCTTAAATGTTTTCTATTTCATTATAATGCCGGGGTTGGAAGATGCTCTGGTGGCACAGTGGGTTAAGGGTTAGGCTACTAACCAGAAGCTTGACAGCTGGTCTGAGGGAGAGAGGAGAGGTTGTCGTCCTTCCTAAAGATTTATAGCTTTGAAAACCCTGTGGAACCAGTTCGACTCTGCCCTGTCGGGGGGACTGTGAATCAAACTTGACCCTACTCACTGACTTAATGGCAGTGAGTTTGGGGTTTAATATGCGGAGTTAGGATTTTAGTATTTTGAGCTCATTTCTCCACTCGTACTATGGAATGACTATAACTGTGTATTATGTTTACCAGATCGGGGCTAGCCCATGTTGTTCCTTTTCTTTTTTAGAATATTGCTGCCAGTACTTAGTCTAGGGCAGGGGTGTCAAACTGGCGGCCCATGAGCCGCATGCCTCCCCCAAGGCATTTTATTGTGACCCATGATGCTCTGAAATAAAATGAAAATAGAAAATATTGTTATGAAGAAAAGAGTGCTTAGGGGAGATCGAGGCAATACCGTACACACAGTTTCCACATTACATTTTATTTCAGAGCATTGTGGGTCACAAAAAATTACCACATGCGGCCCACAGGCTGCCAGCTTGACACTCCTGGTCTTGGGGTTCTTAATCCCAAATAAACAAGAAAAGTATGTCAGTGCACTTGATTAGTTCAGCCCAATAATAATGTGCCACTTTCCTTCTATTCAATGTTGTGTTGTTTAATATTGCTTATCATTTAAAGGTTTTCTCTTATAAATCGAGCACAATATTAAATTTATTCTTAGGTGATTCATCTTTTTGCTGTTGTTTCTACAAATTACATCTTTATTGTAGCAGTAAATATTCCAACTGATTTGTATGGAAATTTATTGTGTATGGTTTAGGGTTTTTTTAACATTAATTTTGTAAGCAATTCCTTTGCGTAACAGATTGAGGAAATCACATTAAGGATATAATGTGAACTCCTCCCTCTTGCTTTCTCAGCACAGAGTGGGATGTCTTTAGCCCCAAACCCTCTCCAATTAAGTGATTTCTGACTCTTAGTAACCCAACATTGGGTTTGGGAGACTATACATCTTTAGGGGAGTAGGTAGCTTTAGCTTTCCCCCATGAAACAGCTAGTGAGTGTGAACCTTTGACTGCAGTAGCAGTCCAATGGATCCAATGGCTATACTTATTCAACATAGCCACCAGAGCCCCTCTGGGATTCTTATTGTACTGCAGTCAATGGCATGGAGGTGGACATATTTGACCATCGCTGGCTTCCCTGTTGCCACAAGCAGGGATCAGACAAGCCTCATGGTCCATCCGTCTTTCCTTTGACACCAACCATTACTCCTGAGCCACTCTACAATTGATACTGGGTTTGGTAATTTGTTGCAATGGCCACACAGAACTCAGATAACACTCATGGTTAAAAGGATTTACTAGGGAAGTTACTATGAATCAGGACCAACAAACAGTAAGGCCACAGCCATTGATCTCAGCCAGCAATCAAAGCTGTCTCCAGTTTTCAGCCTCTCAGCCACGCGGTGACTAGTCTCTGGATCTGAGCCTCTCAGCCTCATGGTCCCTTGGCCTTTGCCTTTTACTCTGTCCCACAGTTCCATCATCGGAGGCCAGATGAGAAACAGGTCCTCGTAGTCTCTACCCTATTCCTCAGTCTCCGCGCCACAGGCTCTGATGGATCTGGTATCACTGGCCTCCACCACTGCAGACAGAGATCTTAAATGTGCTCTTGCAAGATCCTGGGGAAGCTGCTGCTTCAGAGATGACTGACTCAACCTTATAGCCAGGAGGATAGTAATGAAAACTGACCAGTTCTCTCTCTGAGTATTCTACATGCCCTATTTGTGTAGTCCCACCCAATCAATTGGCATGACTTAGACTTGGGTAGAAGAGCCATATTAAGAAATTTCCGTCCACTACACTACTTAACCAAAAAACAAGCCCACTGCCATCAAGTTGATTCAAACTCAACAGTGGCTCCTGTCCTAACAGTCCAATGTCTAACCCACAGCACTACCAGGGCTCCTTCCACTACTAACATCGGGATTTTAATCTTGACCGACAACTCTCTTAATCATTGTCAGCACTTTTTCTAAAATGAAGGAGACGTCAAGTAAGAATTAAGGAAGTAAAATATCTAACTGTAATAGGACTTATTGGGTGGTTAAAACAATAGCCATAGGCCCTGGAATAATATCACCTCAGTTTACATCCTTTCTTACTAACTGTGTCATTTAGGAAAAGTTATACTTAATATTGCTAGCTTTAATTTCTTCATCTGAAAATTAGAGTCTGTATCTCATAGCCTGACTAAGAAATAAATGGAATAATCCATATAGACATGATATGTAACAGGTATGTAAGTTAGACGATACAGTTATGATTATGACATACTGTGTGTGATAAGAATAATAAGCGGGAAGAAAGATTGATAGGAAATTAAGAAATTGATATGCTATACATTGTTCATTTTCATTATACTTTAATATCTTTAGCAAATTTCATGTGTATCTTTTAATGTTTCATAGTACCTTTCAGGGTTTTGTTTTCTATGTTCAAGTCCTCTTAACGTGATCGAACCATTGAATTGTATGATCGATGAATTATATGCCCCAAAAGTTGTATTTTCTATGTATATACTGAAGTCTATCAATGAAGTCTGATTTAAATTTTAATAAGTAAAACAGAATAAATGAACAATTATATGCAAGGATCAATAACAGTGTACTAATGTTGTATGTAAAATAAGGTATAGACTTACAGTTAGGACCAACCCTCATTTTCAGAACGTTACACCCTATTGCAAGGTAGATGTCACTTAAAAACACCAACTATTTTACAGATGTAATTAATTTAATTAATTGAGTCAAAGATTAAAAATGTTTAGTTGTCCACCTTTGGGTTGATGGCGCTTTTTCCACCTTATTTTTATCTGCTCCAGGTTCTCTATTCGTATTCGATAGGTTTTGTGTACATTTTATTAGGATTGACATGCACTAGTGGATTACGCCCTGCAGTGACATTTTGTTCAAAGGTAAGCACTAATCACTTTTTCTTTAAATAAACATCTTTTATTAAGTAGTGTTCCTAATTCCTCGTGTTCAAAAGGCTATTTTTGATGGAATTTGATAACTCCTTTAATATATGTATATCAGAAATACATTTAAAATGAAATGACCTATACTTAAATTTATTTTCCCCTCTTAAGTTAATTTATAAACTATTCATAATGTACAAGTTGGGGTTCTTAATGTAATCTTTTTCTATTAAATAAGAGCTAAATAAGAATCCTTGCTTGACTCTGTTGTTGAACAGCTTATTGCTGCCCAAGAAGTTGATTAAAATCTGTAGTTATATTTGCAATACCTCAGGGTTTGTTTTGCAGATTTTGCAACTAAAAGGTTTATGTGTTTTTATGATTTGCTGCAGAATCCAGTTCGGACCTACAGTTATGCTTTCCTTTTCTCCCTCACGGGGTATTTTGGGATCTCCTTCGTTCTGGCTCTGATCAAAATGTTTGGAGCGCTTCTTGCTGTAACAGGTGAGAGTGCTTTACTTGCTAGGATAGGAAGTACCATTTACACTTTTCTCTGGAGTTCTTTTCCAAAATGTAATGGCAACATCTACTCAGCATTCAAAAGTGTCATATTCTGTCAGGTCATTTTTGGGCTAATAGTATCTCTTTGAAATGCTAACAAAAATTGGGTTTGACTTTAATTCTTTGTTTTTAAGGTTAATTTTAAAATTAAATGTGTACTTCTATTTAGTATGCTAAACACTAAATGTATGCTATAAAAGTATACTGATAATATACTACTTAGATGATCAATAGTAACTTTTGAATACATTAAAATAAATTGATAATAAAAAGTATGGTGGATAGATACCTTAAAAGAAAAATACAGCCTTAGTTTAATCTTACTTGTTATATTGAAAGTATGAAACATTTTAAACAAAACATTCTTTTATAATAGCTTGATTAGCTTCTCATTCTACCAGCACTTCTTGTGTACTTGTCTGTGCAGGGACTTTTGCAAAGCGCTTTGGTGTAATAAAAATGTTCTGTGCTCAGCTTTAGAGATATATGCAGTCTTACTGGGAGAAACAGGAAACAGTGTGCTACCCATGTGACAGATATACCAGGACTCTCCCTGGGGGGAGAACCCCAAGGCCCAGCTTGGGGAGCAGGGTGTCCTGACAGGAAGAATACAGCAGTGGGTATCCGAGCATGTGGTACTCAGCCAGCCTGCCTGTAAGGACCTGTACCTGGAGAGTCAGTCTCAGGTTTTAGTTCTCACTTGAAGGGAAATAGGATGAGACCCAGGTTCTTTATTAGAGAACTCTAATAGAGATCTCCATGGAACTCTAAGGAATTCACTTATGTAGTACATACGTCGGTTAATAATTTCCCAGATTTGAATTTGTCATGATTTGAGGGGAGTACCACAATCTAAGTAAATGAACTAAATATATTTTTTCTTTATAAAAGCATATTTACTTCCTAACATTCTCTTTTATTTGCTCATTTGTGACTCTGCTTTTTTAAAGTTTGTATCCCTAATGGTAATAAACTCAAAAAACTCATTGCCAACGAGTCAATGCTCACTCATAGTGACCCCCCTGTAACTGTCTATGGGAATAGAAAGCCCAGTCTTCCTCCCAAGGACCTGCTGGTGGTTTCAAACTGCCGACCATGCAGATTGCAGCTCGAGTCACCTTTCTACACCATCAGGGCTTCTTCCTTAATGGTGATAGGGGGCTTTAATTAGAGATCAGCCCATTTCAGCCTTTTAAGTCAGCTAATGCTCTCGAGTAAAATGCACGTTCATACACATGAGTCTTATAATGCTTATAATATTATGATGTTCAGGGGGGGCCTGATGTTAGTCAATAATGCATGTTTACTTAGTCCTGTGAATTAATATAGAAGCCCTGGTGTCCCGCTGTTTAAGTGCTTGGATGCTAACCAAAAGGCCAGTAGTTCTAACCCATGCGATGCTCTGTAGGAGAAAGATGTGGCAGTCTGGTTGAGTAAAGAGTACAGCCTTGGAAATCCTGTGGGACAACATTGGGTTTGATTATGGTGGTGTGGAGGCCTGGTGGTGCAGTGGGTTAAGTGTTGTACTGCTAACTGGAATGTCTTCCATTTGAACCCACTGTGCGCTCCCCTGAAGAAAGATGAAGCAGTCTGCTCCCATAAAGATTTATCCCTTTGGAAACCTTGTGGGGCTGTTCTACTCTGTCCTGCAGGGGTCACTGTTAGTCAGAATCAGCTTGACAGCAAGGAGTTTGATATGGAGTGGTGGGTAATGTAAAGAAATGTGAGCTAGAGTCCTTCTTCTCCTGAAGGTACAGCCGGATTTACTTCTACCTCACATAAAAGAAATCTGGAGGTGATAAATAATAGCAGTAATAATAACTGCTTACTACCTGTAGAATGTTTATTTTGTACTAGACATCATCGATCACCTATCGCATTTTATAGGTGGGTAAACTGAGATGCAGTGCGTTTCAGTGCTAGTCAGTCATCAACCAGTTACTCAGTTGTGAGGCCATGATGGAAGCCAAGGCAGTTTGGCTGCAGACTTGTGCTCTTCACCCCGTGTTCCATGCCTCCTGGCTGCTGTGGTGTAACTAGTCTTCAGGATCCAGGCTGCTTTCTCGCTGCTCAGCTCTAGTCCTTGTGTTGCCCATGGTCCACAGTGTTGGAGATCCAGAGAGCATGTCCTAGGATGGAATGAGAGAAGGTGAAGGGCACAGCTATACCTGTAGGCTACAGGTCAGGCTACTTCCTGAAAAGCACGCCAACACATCACACGAGGATGTGGAGGCTGGACGGCGTGCTAAAACTTGGGGTCCTTTTACTCGAGGGTTAGTTACTGGTGGCACAGTGGGTTCCATGTTGAGCTACTAACCACCAGGTCAGCCGTCAAACCGACCTCTAGTTCCCCAGGGAGAAAAAGGATCCTTTCTGCTCCCATACAGGTTTAGAAATACACAGGGACAATTCTCCTCTGTCCTATAGTGTTGGGTCAAAATCAACTCACTGGCAGTGGGATTTGGGTTTTTTTTACTCAAGCAAGTGGAGAAATCGATACAGGTAATCAGACTGTGGCAAGTTTCCACAACACCTTCGTGTGTTGTTCATGCGCGAAGTAGTGTTTGTTGCCCTCCGGTCAGTCCCTTGGGTGCCCAGTAGCAGTGTGCGCCACCGGACTTTCTGGGCTCTCCCCTTTGAGAAGGAGGTTCTCAAGCAGGTTGTTGCACAGTGCCTGTGGATGGGTTTGAACAGCCAACCTTCTGCGTAGTAGTCCAGTGCTTACCCATTTGTATCACCCAGGGACTCTGTGCATAAAGTATTAAATGCCAGGAATGAAAGAAGTCGTGGGATAGAAGGATGAATATGTCAAGGAAGGAAGTAAATTACAGTAGTGCAAAGACAACACATTGTAACACAAAGGCTATGAGGGAGATACAGACAGAACTCCGTTCTCCGGGACTAAGGAGGAGGTTTCAGGCACACCACGCCAGGGATGTCCTGGCTGGAAGGTGAGCTAACACTTGGTGATATCAGGGTGATACTGAAAGAACAGTCAGTAGACAGATACTTAAGTTTATAAATATTACTCTGTTTTAACTGGACAATCACAATAAGATATTAGTATATCTTAGATTGTTTTTTAAGAGTAGCCCCTGCCCCACCTCATCATTTCCTTCTCTGGAAAGCCACACCTTGCCTGGCTTCTCCTGCTAAGTAAGTAAGCCTCTGTAAGGGATGGCAGGCCTGCCTAGTAGCCTGGCTTCTCAAGGGCTTCTTGCAGTTGTACTTTAACATTTATAATTACTTCGTGTCCCTCCCCTACTAAGCTGTACAACCCGTCGTAGTAGCAGGAATACTGCTTTTTCGTTGCTAGCCATTGTTTCCTCGGCACCTCTCATAGGCCCGAGCACTTCATAAGTGCTGTAAATATTTATTGAATATGTGGATTACGAAATGTCACTAAACGATACATGTATTCTAAGCCAAACTTTTTTCCCCCATACAGTGACAACAGGAAGAAAAGCAATGACCATTGTACTTTCATTTATATTCTTTGCTAAACCATTCTCATTTCAGTAAGTACTTTTTAATTCAGTAAGGTTTTTTTCAGTTACTGGTACTGTGTTTTACATTTCTTCTTAATAGACTTACTTCATAGGCTAGACACACCACATATATACTGCAGAAATAGACATACTTCAAATAGATTTCCTCTAAATAGACTTGCTTTACCTTTTATGCTTTTCCCTTTTTTTCAGTAACTCTATTAATTTTTAATTTTACAAATACTGTGTTCTTTTTTCTGTTCCTGTTATGCTTTATGAAGAATCTATGACCCATATCTTCTGATTTGCTTGCTGCTGTTTTAGAAATGTATACAATTTTCTATTTTAAATTTATCGTTTTGTCCACTTAAATTGCCTAACCAGCGCCCAATTCAAATGTGATCATATTGCTTATCTCAGTGAACTTGAGCAATTTACACATGTGTAAATATAAATAAAGCATACCTCAGACATATTGTGGGTTCAGTTCTAGCCCCTCACCCCCAATAAAGTGAGGACTGCGATACAATGAGTTACACAACATTTTTTTGGTCCCCTAGTGCTAATAAAAATTGTGTTTCCAGTATATTGTAGTCTATGGCATGTACAACAGCATTATAAATTTTTTTTTAATTGTGAGAATAACCAAAATGTAATACAGACTTATAGTGAGCGGTTGCTGTTGGACAAATGGCACCAATAAAATCTTGCTTGAAGCAGGGTACAAGAAACCTTCAATTAGTAAAAAAATGCGCTGTCTGTGAAGTGCAGTAAAACGAAGTACAATCTAACGATGTGTGCCTGTATACAAACGACTGTGCTTTCTCTCCCACAGACAAAAAGGATCTAAGCAACCACTGGCTTATGAAATCTGACTTAGGGACAGCTTGTACTTGCCCTTTAACATGATGTGTAACTGCCCTCGCTTTACGAGATTGAACTAGCCCGTGCTCAGAACAAATTCATCTTCACAATCACCTTCACTCGCTGCATGTGCAGCTTTAAAATCATTAAAAAGACTTCAGCCTTTTCTTGCACTAAATCCTACACAAAAACCCACTGAGGTTAAGTTGATTCTAACTCACAGTGACCTCAGAGAGAGTAGAATTTCCCCATAAGGTTACTTTCCAAGGCTGTAAATCAAGCTGACGGACCACCACACCTGTCTCCCCTGGAAGATTTGGTGGATTTGAATAGCTGACTTTTTGTTTCATAGCTGAGTGATTTAGCCACTGTGCCACCACGGCTCCTTTTTTGACGCTGAAGGGTAAACGAAAGCCTTATTCACCTGTTTTGATGTGTGACTACAGATTCAACTTTAAGACACACTTAGGATTGGCTCTCATTCATAACCCAGGGTCTGCCTATAGGTGGAAATACATGCTTCTGATAATAATTAGTTTATATTCTGCTTCTTTTCACAAAGGAATTGAGATATTTATAAGGTATTTATCAAGTAGTACCTTAATAAATTGTTTATTTTGACTTTCTGTGAAACTATTTGTTGTTATCTATACAGGCTGGCATTTAAATGCATATTGGTCAGAAATTGAGAAGATTCAAACCTAGAAATTACAAAGTGTATGAATTTAAATATAATCAGCATAAAGTTCTAACCATGTATTACTAGTTTACTGTTTGTTTTCTGTAAATTGAGTTTTTCTTTCTGCATGTATTAGGCTTACATTACAGTATTCTACAAGAATTTCTTTGCTTTTTTTAGGGGTGGGTTTTTTATCCCGTTACTTTCTCCATTACTGGGATGACAGCTGATTTGCATTTCCAAGCTGGCCAGTGGTAAAGTTACATAGTCAATGTTTTAAGTATACTCATTAGTCTTTGGGTAGAGGATGGATTCCTAATCTGTTTATCTACAAAGTGAAAATGATCTACCTTTTTTTTTTTTTTTTCAAACCTTGTGTGTGTGTGTATACATGTATATGTATACACACACACAACAGGTATGGAATCTTATACAAGATACTATTTTTATTTCGGTACTACTATTGTAGGCCTCCGCAATAGCAAGGGTTTATTTTTTATTATAGAATTATTATAATTTATAGCAAAATTATGTAATTAACAAATTATTGTCACAATATTAATAATTTCCCCTTATTTCTTTCCTTCAGGTATGTATGGTCTGGCTTATTAGTTGTCCTTGGTATATTTCTCAATGTCTACAGCAAAAATATGGACAAAATACGGTTACCATTACTACAAAGTCAGATAAACAAATCAGTGGATGAAAGAAAGTCAAGGACGTTGGCACAAACTGTATAGACAATGAGTGATTCCTACTGTTCAAAATGGGATCTTATGGGAACAATCCATTCATTACCTTTCCAGAGGGACTCTTGTAAAGACCAAAGCATCTGAAGGCATGCTGTCTGTGATGGCTTAGCTTATCTCAACTTCAGTCGGCAATGATTCTCTGATTTGACAGACACTGTTTTCCATTTGTGTTTGATATGAGCAGCCGGTCAGTTGGCAGTTTCCTTGGGAATGTGGCCTGCCATCTAGCTTCTATGGATATTCTGGCAAAGCGTGTTCTCAAACCTATATCCAACCCTTCATCTTCTCACCTCTGGTTCTTGGGATGGGAGCTAGCAGCCTGCCATTTGACCTGCAGTTTTTTTAATTCGTCACTGCCTACAGCCCCATGAACCAACAGCCTTTGGTCTGACTAGCTGATTTTGGGTTTATCAGCCCTTGCAACCAGTTAGGAGAAGCCGCCAGCCTGACACCCTGACCCATGGAGTTAGGATTTGCCAGCCTCCACAGTTTTGTGAACCATCCCCTTGAGAGAACACATACTCTCACTCTCTCTCCTCTATTTGTACACATTTATATCCCTCGCTGCTTTTGTTCCTTTAGAGAACCCAGCTTATGATAATGTCCGTTTATGTGAATGGATTCAATGTGGAAATTTTGTGATGTCAGCCTTTTTTCCCAGGACATTGTGACTGTTTGACCTTGGAAGCCACCAAGAAAGCCACTGTCTAGCACACACCTTAAGAATAAAATGTCAATATGAAGGACCGAAATTCTTAGCTGTTTAATGAGAGTTTTTATTGAAAATGGACCATGTTGCAAGTCTAATCGGACATCAATATGACATACCAAAGAAACCGATACATAGTAACTGATTATTTTATCTTCATTCCATGTTGGTGCTGATATTTAGATTGATTCTCTGTTATAAGAGTAAAATGATGATTTAAAGTCTGGAGAGAATAACATTCAATATAAATAAAATTTAAACTGATTTTTTTAAAAGAATGTGTTAACGTAATTATATAGAGGGAAGTGGAAGATACAAGAAGGCTAAATATATTTTCCTCTCATAATTTAAATGTACTCTTTAGATAAAACATGCTTAAAGTCTTATGTCGGATATGGGCTGTGGGTAATATAAAGCCAGTCATTGCACTACATCATGTAAGGATATCTCACAAGAATGTGCTAGATTTTTTAATTGATGTGGAAATATTTGATGTCTTAAAATTGTTTATGAAATCATAATGAAATTATCATAGTCTTGTTACTCTTAGGAGTGAAATTTAATCTGAAAGCTTAAAAATGAAGGATAAATTTAAGAAACACGAGTAAATACAGTAAATATGAACATCTACTTGCCCGGTTTTGTGTATAAAATGCTACAGATTTTGGCCCCCGTCTTTTCCTTTTTTAAATTTTGATAAATCGTTTTATTGGGGGCTCTTACAACTCATATAACAACCCATATATCAATTGTATCAAGCACATTTGTACATATGCTGCTATCAACATTTCCCAAACATTTTCTTTTTCCTTGAGCCCTTGGTATCAGCTCCTCTTTATCCCTCCTCCCTCACCCGCCCTCCCGCTCTTGTTAATCCTTGATAATTTACAAATTATTTTTATTTTCATATTTTACACCATCCCCTGTCTCCCTTCACCTATGTTTCTGTTGTTTGTCCCCCTGGTTGGGGGGAAGGGGTGCGGGTGGTGGTTGTACATTGATCATCGTGATCGGTTCCACCTTTCTCCCCCTTCTCCCCGACCTTCCCCCTACCCTCATAGTGTCTTTACTCATTATTGGCCCTGAGGGATTTATCTGTCCTGGATTCTGTGTGTCGAGAACTCTTATCTGTACCAGTGTACATTCTCTAGCCAGATTTGTAAGATAGAGCTTGGGTCATGATAGTGGGGAGGACGAAGCACTATAGAGCTAGAGGAATGTTGTGTGTTTCGTTATTGCGATGCTGTACCCTGGCTGACTCGTCCTTTCCTTGTGACTGTTCTGTGAGGGATTGTTCAGTTGTCTGCAGATCCGCTTTGGGTCTCCATTCCGACCCCCCTCATTCAAATCTAAATAGTTTTTTGTTTTGGGTCTTCTCATACCTGATCCCATCGACACCTTGTGATCACACGGTGGTTGGTGTGCTTCTTCCATGTGGGTGTTGTTGCTTCTCTGCTAGATGGCTGCTTGTTTAACTTCAAGCTTTTAAGACCCCAGACGCTATATCTTGTAATAGCCGGGCACCATCAGTTTTCTTTACCACATTAGCTTGTGCACCTATTTTGTCTTCAGCAATCTTGTTGGAGAGGTGAGCAGCACAGAATTGGCCTCTTTCTTAACAGTGATTGTTGGAATGTTTCTGTGTATTTTTAAGTTATAGTACTTAGTTCTAGTATAAGTAATATTTGTTAAAATAACTGAATCTCATTCTTACCCATTCCAAAGATAAAAGGAAGAAATTATTTTCCCAGTCTTTGATAAAGCGTTATCATTTTGACTTATGAAAGGATAGTTTTCTGACTCTTTAACCACTGTCTGCTTTTACCAGCTCCTCACCCCACTCCGTCCCTCATGACAGTTCAGCACTGTTGAAAAATCTTTGTTTGCCAGTGAGGAAGTAGTCCAAGGGCCATGTTATTACTTTCTGCACAAGGAGAGTCCAGCTCCACATCTGGCCAAGGACAATTCCTCTGAGGGAGAGGTCAGACCTGCCTCCACCCTCCATCCTTCTTTATCCTTTCATGACACTCACTGTATTTTCCTTGGCACTCTACTTCCTACTGGGTTCAGTAAACCATTGCCATGACCAGGCAGAACTCATAGACAGTACTCCTAATTACGAAGGTTTATTAGGGAAGTTAACACATCATAAGTCAAGATCAGAGAATATTCAGAAGTCATGCTGTCTGCAGGCATGTCTCTGGTCCTTTACCTCTCAGTCATGTGGTCCCTTGACTTCTGCCTTGCTCAGTCAATTGTCACAAGCCTCCTTTAGTACTCTGATCAATGGCCACAGGTCACCCCATTCTGCAAGCCAGCCTCTGGCCCGAAGGCTTTGCTCAGCTTCATTCATTCGGTGGGGCTGGAAACCTCAGGCTCTCACAGTTTCCTTTGCTACCTGGCCACACAACAATAGGGGCAGCACTTCCAGTTCTGGCTCTTGGTTGCTGGTCATGGGTCTCTCTCTCTCTCCTGTGATGGCTCAATTTATACACACAGGAATGACAGAACTAACCAGAGACTCTACACACCCCTCCCGAGTCATTTGGGGTGAGTTACAAAGCCTGCACAGAAGAGCCATACCAAGACATTTCACCTCACTGTAGTCAGTCTTACCCTTTATGCCTTTTTTCAAAATCTGCTATTACGTAAGGTAAATTTCACCTTATTTTATCCATGGGGCAGTCTTTAGTGAATATTCCGAAGTACTAATTTTGAGAGTAAACTCTAAAAACATTGGCATACTGTATGCTACATTTGATCGTTATAATTTCTTTCAAAAGCCTTACTTTATCTTAGCAGCCAAAATAAGGAATAAAAAGAATAGTTACAATAGCTAATATATAAGTGCCTATGAGGTGCCAGACACTATGAGCATTGCTTGACATGATGAACCTTGCTAATCTGTCTTCACCTCGCAGAGGGTAATTAGGACCAGCCTCACTGACAGATGAAGCTGTGTCCCGGATTTTCAGGCGACTTCTCCTTGCTTAGCAAGAGCCTTTCAGAGCTGTCTGCCAAGCTGTATCAGTTGTAGAGTCTGTGTTCCTAATCTCTCTCTTGCGTCTCTTAAGGAGGCGTGATTGCTCAGGTCACATTCTTTGTCATACAGAGGTTCAGTACCGGGTTAAACATTTACAGGCTTAACATTACAAACTGCTATGGGACAGCACTGGACTCCTAACCCTTTTCCATCCTATTCCAAAGCCCAATTCTTGCCCCATGTGCCTCGCTATGAACAAGTCAGTGCTACCATAATTCAAAATAACAAGTCAAAGCTTTTCAGTTAAAAAAAAAAAAGACACTAATGAGTAGACAAGAACTTTATTGGGGCACTGATTAAATGCAGGTAATGCTATTCCTTTTAAGCATTTGCGCAGTATACAAATAGAAATTGCTTCTTCAGCTTGGTTCATGTTAGGTGCCTTTGCTCTAATAAGTACTAAATTAATATTTATGTTGTGAGAGAATGATCTTCAAAGAATGCCCTTAGACTATAAAAGATGCTATAGAGTTGATACTACGAATTTGCCAGTATGTCCTTTTTGACGTATTCTGAACTCAAACTCACTCCGTCGAGTCGAGGCCGACTTGTGCCGACCACCTAGCACCGGATAGAACATCCCCTGGGACTTTCCAAGCCAGTCTTTGCAGGAGTAGAGAGTTTGGTCATTCTCCCACAGAACAGCTAATGGTTTCGAACTGCTGACCTTGCATCTATTAGCCCAGTATGTAACCGCTACACTACCAGGCCTCCTTTTGTGCATAGTAGTGAAACAAAAGGACATTCACAGCAGAAGAACCCAGCCAACTCTGGTGGATCACTGTTCTCAATAAGGCCAGAATTCTCAATAAGACTTGATGCTTGTTGACAATTGTTATTGAGTAGTAACGTTCTCTAGGCTGTGACCCTTGAATTTCCCAAGAAATTCTTACTTTAAACCCACTTGATTCTTCCTTGGTCAGAACACAGAATCCTAGTAAAATATGAACTAATCATGAACAAATAATACAACTTAGCACAATGACAAATTTATTCTGTACACTATTCTATTTGCTCTTTGCAGGTTAGGCATCACTGAAACCTGTGTGTTTCTTTCCTATCCACATGACCAGTTTACCCTGTGTTTGAGCATCTATATTTTATATTTCCCTTGTCCTGGCTTTTCATTTATTTCTACTGGGTGTCTTTGTGCTTGCCCCTGGAGCCGACCTCCTTAACCTTTGTACCAAGTATAGCATCACCGACTTAACTACTCTTTTTATTTCAACACCATTTCATCATCTATTGTGAGCTAGGAATTGTGCTAGATTTTAGGAATGTAAAAGCTAATAATCTTCAACCCCGGTCTTAAGGAACTCCCAGGCTAAAGAAAATTTGCTATCATTGCTGTATAAATACAGACACAATGCCGAGTTTCAAAATAATCTTTCCCCACAGTGTCACGGTTTGTAAAACTTTAATGTGCATATAAAACACCTGAGGGCCTTGTGAAAACATTTTCATTCACTGTAGGGTTTGATAGGAGCTTGAGATTCTACTCCACCATCGCCCAGGGGCTGCTGCTGCTGCAGGTGTTCCATGAATGGCACTTGAGTGACAACCAGCTGTTGGTGTAAAAACCTTCAGATGTGTTTGGGTTGTTTGTTTTTTTATTTTAACCATATTTTTGATAAGGGTTTAATACAGAAAACATAACTTATAACTTCACAAAAACATGTCAATGTAATAAAAAAGTTAGCAAAGTACTTAAATAGACATTTCATCCAGGAAGACATCAAACAGGCCAATAGCCACATGAAAAGACATTTCACAGCATTTTCACTATGCAGGTAAAACCACTAACATACCACTTGAGCCTCACCAAGATGACTCTTATCAAAAAGACAGATAATAACATGTTGGAAACAGTGTGGAGAACTTAGAAACCACATCCGCTGATTAAGGGAATGTAAAATGTTTGAGGTTGCTGCTGTGTTTATCCAAAACTCAAATGTAGAATATGTTTCAGCAGTTACAATTCTGAAACACTTGGAAGCAGG